CAGCCTGTCCACCAGGATACTTTGTTTGAAGTTTTGCGGAGGGTCATGCCGGACGCCGCTGAAGGACCGGTTTGGCTGGCAGTGTATGACTTGAAGACACTGATGCAGTGACTTGCTTCAGAAGAAATGGATGAACAAATGAACCTGTTTTTTTTGTTTGCTATGATCCACTTGTGTTGTTCCAATTATACATGACATGATGCAAAACTCTTGTGTGAGGTTTACCAGGAAGGTTTGGCGAAAGACGCGGGCTAACAAGACTCCTGATGGATGGTCGCTGTGGGTCAAAATGCTACCAGCCGTTCAGACGCTCTTTGATACCATGGAACCCTTTGTGGATGATGATACATATAATGTTGCCAAGACTTGGAATCTGAGTGATGCTTGTCATTCCATAGTTAGAAGTATAAAACCGATGATGTGAACAGACCTGTGTTATTCAAAACCTTGGCTCATCATCAGACTTTGTGAGTGCACACGTGTCTTTTCAGGACAAAGATGTGCATGATGCAGAAGTGGGACATGAAGCGACCCAACCCAACGAGGTGTGATTCTGTTTGCCAAGGTTATCTCATTAATCATGACAGAGTGAGTGTGTTTACCTTCCCAATGGAAAGCCACATCCGTTTGGAATGGATATGAATGGTTTGCTTACATGGAAAGCGGTTGTTGTTCAGGCGTCTGTGGAGTTGGCCCGGAGACGTAAAGATCTTGCTGCTAGCCTGAAAGGCAAAGTCGTTGAGATTTTGGATGATTTGCCAGGACAGATTTTGCAACAACCTCTGTTTCAGTGCATCCTTTTGGTCAGTGGGTCTGTTCTGTAACTGCACATGGAGGACCTGTGGATGACGCTGATGACAAAGGCAATGTTGCCGTTTGGATCTCAGTTTCATGCATGCATGAACCCATGCATTGACATTCCATGTCATGCGGCAGCATGCCACTTGTTTCAATTTTTTCCCTTGCGGGCCACGGCCCCTGACAAACCCCCATTAATTATATATAGTACTTGGCATGTCATGGCATGATGTTAAGGTTTGCTCATGGTAGGGCCTCGGCCCTCAATTTTCAATCTTTTCCATGTCCACATGCATATCACAACATGCGGTTTGTTTCTTCAGGTGGGTCCCCGTCCAGAAAGTTCTGGGGCTATGCGTGCTGCTGCACTCACTGAAGAACCCGTGGCAATGGTGAAGGCTCCGATTCGGAAGACTGTCCATGCATATCCATTTGAATCACCCCCTTCCCATATCAACTGCATGCGCAGCAGGAAGTGCACAGCTTGTTGGAGACTCCTGAAGTTCCAGCAGCTGACCCAGCCCGACGCGCACTTATTTTTCTCGATAGTTTTGTCCAGAATGTTGCAATGTTGCTGCAAGCGCACATGTTGTGTCATGTCTTGGAACGAAATGTAAGGTCAGATGCAGCTCAGCAGAGAACTTGCTCCAAAAGCAAAGGCCAAGAGCTCCCCAGCGGCCAAACGAAGGGCTCATGCCCCACCGGCTGCAGCACCAGCTGCCAACGGCGAGGATGTACAGAATCTGTTTTCCATGAGAAGGCACAAGCGGAAGACTAAGGATGGCGGTCACATATTTGCATACGCAATTTGGAGCAGCCAAGAACAGAAACAAATTGTGCAGTTGACTAACACGGCAAAGGAAGATGCTGAAAGCATCGTCGAAAGACAGGTGGCTGCTTTGAACAATGGCAAGTCCACTTCCCAGGAAGTGATCTCCTACTTGAACAATTTGAAACCGGTGGGTTAGGTCTAGGCGACCATGATGCAAAGCGAGGGCTATAAAAATGTCCGATGCATTTCATTGATGGTATGATCCTTGTAGGCACATGCCCTCATTTCATGGTTTCCTGCCGGCAATTCCGATAGCATGTGTGGTTGCAAACCATATGTGCATGATGTGACATGCAGTCTTGCAGGACTGGCATCCCAAGCAGCGCCAGGGCCACTGCAATCAGCTGGGGCAGGATTGATGTACAGTGTTTTTATGGCGAAAGAAACCTTTGAGTGAACTTCATTCTCAGGTGTGTTTCTGGTATGCAACAGTTCATGCGGTATGTAAGGGGATGATATGTGTATAATATATAATTAATTATGTTATGTACTTTTGTTTGTTTATTTTGTGAAATGATCGATGCAACATGCTGGAGGACAATCTGCAGTCCCAGGCTTGCAGCGTTCTAAGAGGTGCCGTCACCCACCACCGTCGTCTGTTCAGTGGCACTTAAATTTGTGATCATTTGCCGTTTGCGTGAAGAGCAACACTTATCAGTGTACATGTATGGTCATGTATGGAAGATGGGATGCTGGCAGCTATGGCTCCTACGTATGATCCAAATGCATTAGAAACATATAGTCATATAGTTGTTTTTTTTCAGCCATGACCGGACCAATTCCAATACTGGTCCTTTTGCGAATGCTGAATTCCCTTTCTGTGCAAGAGCTCCAACATGTCTACGGACTGGTGGCGCTTAGACTTCCGTGGGTTCTTGTGGAGTTGGTGATCCAAGCGATGCTGGTCAGACGACTTATGCAGTTTGATGGACCAAGTGAGCTACAAACATGCGTAGAATTCTTTAGTGGCTGCAGTGCTTCAAGTCAAATTGCAAAAGCATTTACTGAACTTGGTAAGACCGCAATTGCCTTTGACATCTCCAGACACTTGGACTTTCATTTTAGGTTGGATGTGTTTCTGAAGGAATCCCCAGTTTTCAGAAAAAGTGTACATGCATGTCCGTGCCCAGGAAGCCAGACTCATGATCTCTCATCTACGTCAGGCCTGGTGGCTGCTGTGATGGCAGTGCTCTCCGTCGTCATTGGAGGACTTGTTCATGTGGCCACAGTGTGTACATCGTTTGTTTTCATCAATGCTGCTACACATTGCCGAAGCATGTGGTGCCCAGAAGGGGCTGAACTTGACTATGTAGAGCTTGGTACACGATTGGCTTCACGTTCATCCCTCCTGGCTCTTTTGACGTGGGCCATGGGGGCTACATGGACCCTAGAGCAGCCCTCTACCTCATGTATGCTCTACCTGCAGAGCTGGCAAGCTGTAATTCGATTTTTCCAGGAAAAGACAAATGAAGGTTGGTGCAACTCATTGGTTTTGAGACATGCTATAGCAATGGCGGCTTTTCGGGGACCAAGTCTGAAACCTACGGCGCTTTGGTCAAATGAAAACTTAGAAGTGCTGATGAACATGTACATTCCACCAAAACATGACCGCCCTCCAGCTGAAGCTCCTGTTTCTTATGTGTCTTCTGGCATCAGCATTAAATATGTGGCAACATTCCTGTGTTGACAATATGTGTGTTTCGTTGAGAAAGAGAAGATGCTGCTCAGGTACTTTGATTCACAGGGACGAAAACGCGTTTGCGGTGGTGCGGGGCTAAAGAGCACCCAACTCTACACACCAGAATTTGGCAGAGGGCTTGCAGCTTGGTGGGTGGCCCACGCGCCCATTGCTTCTGGGACTGCCGGCTGAATTGCAGTCATGTTTTAGCATGAACTCCCAACTGCTGTGGTTCAAAAAAGTCGTGTTTTATTCCTGCTATATACTGTAGCTCCTGCTCTTCTGCTGATTCGGTGCATGCAGGAGGGATCGGAGAAAGTGGTGCATGTTGCAAAGTGCGCATTTGACAGTGGAACAAATGAAGGTGAGGTTCGAAGGATGTCTGTGTAACTGTTGTTGCATGTTGTTTGGTTATTGTTACGCATGATGCTTCTGCCCGTGCGTGTGCACCGTGTGTCAGGCGGCCATCATGGACTACAGTCAGGTTTATGCTGGATATGACTTCTCCGATGGGCACGTGCCTCAAGCATTGGCTGAGTTGCGAAACCCATGGCGTCCAACAGTCATGGATGATCCAATTTTTGTGGATTGAGTCCCAACTTTGAAACTCTGGGATTCATGTTTAGCTTCAGTCGTTGGCCATGACTGACCGTGACCAACCGTGACCAACCGTGACCACAAGAAACGCCCGAATGGAAAAGTAAAGGGACGCGGCCGTGACCAACCGTGACCAACCGTGACCAACCGTGACCAACCGTGACCACAAGAAACGCCCGAATGGAAAAGTAAAGGGACGCGGCCGTGACCAACCGTGACCGACCGTGACCGCCATGTCCCATGAATGACCAAAACCCTCCAGCATGTAATTTGTTTTGGTGGCGAATGGCTATTCAAGATACTGGGTGCTGCTGATTGTTTGCAATGGACGCAGGTGAACTGTGGTTCAAGTTTTGCCTCTAGGCACCATATGGCTTGTAAGGAGGAAGCGTTTGTAGGTCTCATGGAGCCATCGACTGACCCATACCTGGTCGGAGTGGCAGTTGATGTGCGCACTGCCTTTGATGAAACCCAACCAGGCAGAGTGTGCATGGTAAGTTTGCACATGCTTGTGTGTGTTTGTATATGATTAAAGGTGTGTTTTATATGTTGTTGTATGCTTTTTTTTACGTGTTGGTTCAAGTTTGACAGGGCTTCTTTTTGTGTGAACTGTCGGCATTGGATCTTCACGTGTTAATATGTCTGCATGGGGTCTGCATGGTTTTGCAATGGTTCGCGGGTGTGATTGCAGACAACCGTCTAAGCAACGCACCTGAAGTTGTAGCCGATGTTGGTGGGTTGGGTGCTTAAAATACAAACTGACAGATTCTTTCATGAAGTACAATTCAATGTTTGATGCCCAGTAAATTTCAAACACCACAGAGCCACCACTCATGCTTGTCCCACTGTCAAGGACTACTGTGAACCTCTCCAAGCCGCTGCCACCGATGGAAGCTGGAGATACTTTGGAGACACAAGCAACAATGGCTGACTCGCAGGTGCTGTTAGGTTTCATGTTTTTTTGATTTGTGTATGTTTTCACAGGTGTTTCAAGATGACTTCAATGTTTGCCTTTGCTAGGTGCCAGATGCTGCAGACGCGTCTTTGGGTTCGTCGACAGACGTCGCTCATCCAAAGAGTTCGGGTGAGACTGTCATGCCGCCCACAGCGCCTAAGAAGCCTGATGAGTTTGCCCAGCAGAAATTGATGGATATGAAAGCCACCACATGGACACCACGGGTCAATGCCCATGTCCCAAAGAGCAGTGGTCCCACTGCTCCCAGTGTGCACACACCGCCTGTCACACATGGTATGAATGCTGCCCAGATGGCTCAGATGGCACAAGAGCTTGCAGCCATGGGGTGGATATGCACACAGCCGCCCCAGCCAGCTGCCAAGGCTGTGGAAACCCCGCCGCCCAAAGCAGAAGCAGCGAAGGCTGCACCGCCGCCACCCAAAGCAGCTGTGGAAGCACCCATGGCAGCACCGCCCAAGGCTGTGGAAACACCAACGCCACCTGCCAAAGCAGCAGCTGTGGAAGCACCCATGGCAGCACCGCCCAAGGCTGTGGAAACACCGCCATCGCCCAAAGCAGCTGTGGAAGCACCCAAGGCTGTACCAGCACCGCCCAAAGCCCTGCAACCACCAGCGCCCAAAGCTGTGGAACCTGCACCCAGTGCTGTGCAACCGCCACCGCCCAACCACATGAGCCCACCACCCAAAGTTTCTATGGGACCGCCTCCGCCGCCCATGCAGATCAAACAAGAGCCGTTGACCCAGCAAGCATTGCAGGCGCATGCTCGCGCAAATGGTTTGCAGAAGGAACAGGACAAGCAGTACACCAGGAGGGCAGCAGCCAACCTGATCCAGCGACTACGTGAGAACCCATCACGAACCCAGGGCATGCCCGCTTTGGCACAGATGGTGAACGATGAAGGGAAGAAATCAGACTTGATTTCGTTGCTTGTGACAAATGATGGTTCTTTTGAAAAAGTTGGGCTTCACCTATAGGCTTATGAGGATGCCTCTGAAGGTGAGATCAACCGCAAGAAAGCTTTGCGCTGGAGTAAGAAAGAAGTTGAAGATCACTATGGGGCCGATGCTGAGAAGATCATGAAGTACAAAACCGAACAGGGCATGATTGAAGATGATGAAAATTGCCCCGGTGGAGTGCTCTACCTGATTTCTCGGAAGGAGGATGAGAATGAGAAAGGTTGGAAGAGGGGAAACTTGGCTATGTTTTCCATGGGTCATCTACACAACATGAACATCACATACCTTTTCATGCACGTGGGGCTCCCCAGTGTTCCACATATGCTTCATGATTCATGATTCATGATGTTTCGTTTCGATCATGCAGCTGGGCCCTGGCCTGCTCCTATTATTTCTTTCTGGGGGTGATTTTCCAACTGTAAATGGTATGACATGGGGTCACGCGTAAATCAGACCTGACCAATCAACAAAACATTTTTAGATTCACATCGTTTGAGATTTTACAAGAATTGCAAACCAGCTTTTCATCAAACAGTCTCAAATGTTTGCTGCCGTGAATGTGATGCTTACCAAGGCCAATGCATTGCCACAGGCAAAATGCAGGTGGATGCCCACAATGCAAGCGATGTGAATGCGTTGATGTCCCTCGGACAGAATGATGATGATGATGGTGATGATGTTGATGTTGATGATGGTGATACTGGTAACGGTGACAATGACTATGACAATCATGACTATCGTGATGACCATGATGATGATGATGATGGTGATGATGATGATGATGACGATGACGATGACGATGATGATGATGATGATGACGGTGGTGGTGATGATGATGATGATGACGGTGGTGGTGATGATGATGATGATGATGATGACGGTGGTGGTGATGATGATGATGATGATGATGATGTTGATATAAGGACCTGTCGTTTTTAGTGTATGTAGCCATGATGAAAAATGAGTCAAATATTGTCATGCAACAAGATGCAAAGCTGTGTTGTTTGTAGATGACTCTCATGCAGGACACGACCTGGTTCCAAAAAACGCGGCCAAGAATCTTCGCCGAGCACACCTTCAGGTGACTCCTCAACGGCATCAACCATGCCTGGAACGCCCACCCCGGATGCGGAACCAAAGAAGAAACCACGAAAGAATCCAAAGGTGGAAGAGCCTCTCACGGCCATTCAGAAGGGCCGTGATATGGCAAACAAGCTGCTGAAGAAGAAGTCTGATGCAGCCAATTTGGCTTTGACGCTCCAGGCAGTCCCATATGGAGAGCAGTTGCACAAGGAGATGGAAAACTTTTCCAGTGCGTTTGAGAATTTGGGTTGCATTTGCACATGCTTGCATGCATGACATGCAGCTTGAATAATGAGTTTCACGCCCCATTTTCCATGTGGTTTCCACACATGTTTTCATGATTTTCTATCATGCAGCTGGGCCTTGGCCTGCTCTTGTTGCTTTGATTTTGGGGGTCATGTTGTGACATCTGGCCACATGTGTCTCTGTCCCGAGGAAGCTTTACCTCAAGGTCCATGCTTTGGTGGCAAGTGGGAAGAATGAGGACCGTCCTGCGATGTCATGAAATCTTTTTCACAACGAAGCTTCCAATCTATTTGTCTGGGAGGTGTTGGCATATGCTGTGTTGAACAAACTTCCTTGTTCTTCACTGGAATTTGAAAAACATGCAATGTTTCTGGCATTGTTTGTCTCATTATATTACTATATCTTAGCAATGCGTATATATTAGTATCGTCAGCCATCCTGCCAGGAGGAGGACTACCTTCCTCTTGCCAAGGACATGCTGGTTCTGAACAAGGCTTTTGAGAAGCCACATGGTGTCGCCAATGCAATTTACCGACAAGTCAATAAGCCGTCCGCAAAGCGAGCGGCCAAGGCCAAGCCAAAGGCTGCAGCATAGCTGTGTGCTATATAGGGGTATGCTCATGCAGAGCCTAAGCAACGCTTGGGAGCATGAATGTGGGGTAGATGAATGAGATGGGTTCTTCTTTAGGAGACAAGCATGTGAAAAAACAATCTTTTGCTTTAAGTTGGAAGGTGCAACTTGGAACGTGCCAAGTGCGGAAGAATTCACGATTCTGACTGGCATGCTTGGATGTCATGCAGCAGTGAAAGCACACCGGCGCAAAATATGAGTGCATTTGCCTTGCGATGTTTAAAGAATACAGCCTTCAGCCGAGCTTGGTCAAACATGCATTGTTAAAAATGTATCACGCAGAAACTCTTCCCTACGCAGGTCAGGGACAACCTCGGAGCACACACAACGCAAGTACCGTAAAAAAATGTGCCTTGTTAAACATGTTACAGTTGAACACTTCGTTGTGTCATCACATGCACATGTAGCATGTTCAAAGGAAGCCCGTCCAAATGCAGATGACATGTGATGCCTGAATTTTTGGTGTTTACAGGGCTCCATGTTCTGAGGTGTGTGGATGACATGGATTCCAATGGTGTGCGCAATCTCGCTGAGAAGATCGGTTCTGGAAAACTTTCAGTTGCAGCTGCTGCAGATTGCGCTTCAGCATTCCAGTGCGATGAATCGGTTAAGGTTGTGGCATTTTGTGGCGTTCAGTCATGAAAACATGTTGAATGCCAATGTCACATGTTGCATGTTTCTGTTTTCATTCTGCACACATTCATTTGTGCAGGTGAGCACTTCGCAGCTGGCAAGCTCCACCCAGCGTGATTTCTTCCGATGGTTGAGACTCCCTGTCCCCATTACAACTGTCGAGCTTCCTGTGCTGTTGGATGCGAGCCAAACCGCGCCTGATGCTGTTCCACAACAAGAAAGTACAACATCCATTTCAGTTGTGTTGCCCAGCGATATGCTCGCTGCACTACACAAAGCTGGGCCTGAAGTATCTTTGTCTTACATGCTGTGGATGGGTTTGAAAATATTACTCTTGCAGCCATGCCTGATACATTCGTGGTACAGGCACTTGATGCATTTGATGAACTCAGGTTTTGGCAGAATGCTTGGGGTCTAGGTCCGATTGGGGCGACTTGTGGCGTGCTCGTGGTTGTGGCGAAGTTGCAGAGAGCCATGTGCCTATAATCGTGCACGAGGATGGGGTGCCGCATTTTTCTGGTGGCCAAGCTGAGTATACAAGCATGAATGTTTGCCATGGCGACACATTGTGCTAAAGGAGTTTTTGTGATCATGAATAGCAAAATATTGTACATACCGGCCGAGGATCTACGGCAACAATTTGGAGCTGGTCAACTGGATGCATACGTGCGGACTCATGGAAAACAAGACAATGCATTGCAGTTATGGCAACATCGAAGGTCACCGATGCCACACGGGCAGCAATCTGCAAGCTCCTTGCTTGGGATTTTGCTCAGCTGCAGACTGGTGCATGGGACTTTGTTGATCACACTGGAAAATTTCACAAGATCGGTTCTATTCAAGAGAAGCGATCAGGGGAACAAATGCCCATCAAGGGAGCACCTAGCTATTGTCAGTTTTTGTTTTTGGGTTGTGTTTATTTTTGGTGGTTGCGTTTTTGGGCTGGTGATCACCCATACTCGCTGTGTACTCATGACGTGTCAATGGCAGGCATTTTGCTTCTGGAAGGGTGACATGGAAGCCCATGTTTTATCTCACAAAACTGCCAGAAACTATCGGTGCAGTCTCTGCTGCGACCTTTGCCTGGCAGTGAAGAGTCCGAACAACCCTGTGATGAACATTGGAAATTTGACAGTGGACGCGGCATGGAAGCGCACAATTTCATTTGTTGATCCTTCAGACCCTTCACCATGGATGAACGTGCCTGGCTTCACCAACAAAAAATGCAGACTGCTGGACATTTTACATATCGTGCATCTTGGAACCCTCCGAGACCTCATTCCCGCTTGCCTCATTGACGCCCTGGATGATGGCACGTTGGCCCAAATTTATGGGATGCAAGGTCAAAGTGAAGATTTGATTTTGTACCGCATGAGTCAACATGCGCACAGATGGGCGAAGGACAACAACATGGACTTGTATGTGGGAACGTTGAACCTCCGCAGACTGGGACGGCCAAACCAACGTCACTGGCCATTTCCCGTGCTTGATTCAATAATCAAAGCAGCACGGACAAGGACTTTGTTTGCGTTTGTCACGTGGCTTGTGTCCAGGTTGGCAACATACCCGTGTGCAACCCAAGAACAACAACTGAATGCAAAAGTTCGGGCAGTTTGTTGCTGGACACTTGATACTGCGCTGAGTATATTCAACATGAACAAAAAGATCAAAATGAGAGTGCAAGTGGTGCGGCAGACAACATGGCTGTGCAGGTTGCATTCAGCGTGCCACCAGTGGCTTGGGTCACGTTGCATTGCACAGAGGCGTCTTTTGTACAAAGTGCGTCCCAAGACGCATTACTTTACACACATGGTTGACCACCATGAAGAGACATGTTTGTGTCTCTTGCACCTGTCAACTTTTGGTGATGAGGACTTCATGGGTAAAATTCGGAAAGTAGCCCAGAGCTGTCATGGCAAGACATACATGCATGCCTGGGCAAGACGGTACGTGCTCAAACGAGCACTGCAATGGTCAGAGATGAAGAAGGAAAATGTGTTCATGGTTGTGGTAGTGCATGGGTGAGCAGCACTGTGCATGAATGACTTGATGTTTACATGTATTCTGTGCTTTTGTATGTTTGTCATGGTTGTGTTTTTGGTGGATGTTTCCACAATGCAGAGCAAAAAAAGTTTTCTATGGAAACAGCATTTTTGGACATGTCATGAAAAAAACGAGCCCGTGTTGTTTGGGGGTTTCTTTGCAGGGACCATCTTTAAAAAAAACGAAAACAAAAATTAAGGGAAGCCAAACTTCCGAATTACGGTCAGACTTTTGCAGCCATGCTGGGCGAACATCAGAACAACAATTGTCAAGCACAGCAATAGGCGCCGCACGCCTTATGGCCATTTTGGGCCAAAGGGTGCTATGTTAACGAAGCAGTTCGACTGCGATCTGCAGTCACTGACTAGTGTTGTACCACTGCCAAACGTCCATGGTTCTTAGTCTTTTGTGTTGTTCTTTCAAAGAAACGCCCATGGGTGTTTATTGAGCACAAGAAAGGCCCGTGGGTGTTTATTGAACACAAGAAACGCCCGTGGGTGTTTATTTACCACAAGAAACGCCCGTGGGTGTTTATTTTGCTTCTGGGTGTAAAAAGTACGCCCAACCTCCAAATTGGCATGTCCAGGTGGGGCCGTGGCTGCCTTTCGCGTGGCAGGCGCACCTGCGGCGCGCGTGGCCGCCGCTGGGGCCGCGGCTGCCTTTCGCGTGGCAGGCGCAGTACACAGAGCCTCCTGGAGGAGCTGCGGCGGGCATATGATGCCGCTGGGGCGCGGCTGCCTTTCGCGTGGCAGGCGCAGTACACAGAGCCTCCTGGACGAGCTGCGGCGCGCGTGGCCGCCGCTGGGGCCACAGAGCCTCCTGGACGAGCTGCGGCGCGCGTGGCCGCCGCTGGGGCCGCGGGTGCTTTCACGTGGCAGGCGCCACTTATCATTCACCCCTCATTACGCACCACTTATCACATCTCACTCATCACTTCTCACTTACCATTCTCACAGCTCACTCACCACTCATCACATGTCACTCATCATTCACCACTCATCACTACACCACATCTCACTCTCCACTTATCACTGTCTCATCACACCTTATCACATCCCAACTCATCACAGCTCCACTTTTCAAACCTCACTCATCACAGCTCCACTGCTCATCACAACTCATCACAGCTCCACTTCTCACACTTCCACTTCTCATCACTTCTCACAGGTCCACTTCTCATCACAACTCATCACCACTCATCACAGCTCCACTCATCATCGCAAGCCATTACAGCTTCACTTCTCACACCTCGCTTATCACATCACAACTTCTCATCACAACTCATCACAACTTATCACATCCCAACTCATCACAGCTCCACTTCTCACAGCACTTCTCACAGCTCACACCACTTCTCACACCTCACTTATCACATCACAACTCATCACAGCTCCACTTCTCACACCTCACTTCTCACACACTCACTCATCACAGCTCCACTTCTCACACCTCACTTATCACATCACAACCTATCACAGCTCCACTTCTCACACCATCTGTCACACACCCTCTTTGACACACCATCTTTCACACACACACACAACTTTGTCACCCACCATCTTTGACACACCATCTTTCACACACCACTTTGTCACACACAATCTTTCACACACAACTTTGTCACACACCATCTTTCACACACCATCTTTCACACACAACTTTGTCACACACCATCTTTCGCACACCATCTTTCACACACATCATCTTTCACACGCAACTTTGCCACACACCATCTTTCCTCCACCTCCTCCTTTGTCTTTCCTTCCTTCCCCGTCCCCGCTACAACATTTCTGGCGAATTATTGGAAGAAGTTGATTTGTGGGGTTATCCGGTCCTTTTATTTTTATACCTCCAATTAAAAAACATCGGGATGAAAGTCACAACTTGACTTCATACCTCCAATCCAAGATTGCAAGACATTTGATTTGATCGGGTCATGGAAAAGGGTTCAGTGGAACCATGCGCGATGCCCAACACATCCAGGTGGAATTGAACACCAGAAGAACCCCAAAATTGGACCCCAAACT